AAAGGAATATTTTTTTCTCTCACTATTTTCCCCTTTCACTGGTAATAGAAACATAATAAAAAGCCGCTGAAAGAGAAACCCCGTGCCTGAGACAAACAAAAACCAATTATGGTTAATCCTGAGGGAAGCCTTCAGGGGAGACAGCCAAGAAAATGCTAGAGGCTTCTGCCCTTATCTGTCCTTCCTGCCTGCCTTTGAGGATCACATGTTCACAGCCTGGTTTGGACTCCTTCGTGCCCACAGGAATTTCTATCAACTCGAGAATGTGTTGAAATGTACGCAGTTTAATCAGAGAAGGCCCATTCCTTGCCCGGCCAGTTCCCTGTGCTGTGTGCATTCTAGCTACAGGTCAAAGCAGAGGCCAGCTCTTGGACACAAACTAAGGCATCATTAATGAAGCCCCTGTGCCATACTGGCTTCCCATCTGCCTTCCTCTTCGGCACAGAAAATGTGCCTGGAGGATATAGGCCAACAAGAGGGCTGGGGTACTGCACGGTGAGGCTCTGCCCAAGTCTGTGGCTGCTTTGACCACCTTGTAGGGCTGGCCCCTCAGGGCACTTCTTTGTCCTTCCAATGCTCTTAAAAGCCGCTGGAGGCATGTTTCCTAGCTCCCCGACCTTCAGGCTGGTTTTCTTCCTTTGGTTCTTGCTAATATTGCTATGTTGCTGTTTCTCTCTCTTCTGTTTAATCTAGTCTATATAATAAAATAATTGATATAATGAAATGGTTCTTTCATAGCTCTAGTTTCTGTCCAAAGGGAGAATGGGCATGGAGAATCCTGCCTTCCTTTTGACAGTGGGTAGACTGGTAGCATCACTGACCATTGCTATGCCTCAAGGGCTCCTTGACGCCCTCCAAGTTCCGGTACCTGGATCAAGGCCTGGTGGCTTTTTCCTTCCTCCTCTGCACTCTTTCCAAAGGCTTTCTTCTGCCAACCTGGGGCTTGGCTGAGTGGATCCGGCTGGCTTCCCCATCTCCCTCTGCCTGTAGAACTCTTCCCCAGCAGAGTTCTGTCCCTGATCAGATCTCTGAGTGTCTTTTTGTTCTCCTGGGTGGACTTCTGTGACATCCTTTCTGTGACACATTTATCTTATCCCCCAGAGATCAGTTCCTCGGTGTAAATGTTTTATTCTTATAAAGTTGCTTTTAAAAAAGTTAATTCTGACTAAGCATGCTGCATACTGTCAATGGATATGATTTCAGATAGTAAAAGTGATGATTTATTGTTGAAAATGTATATGACCAAATCTGATACCTGGACCTGGAAGGGATGGCTAGCATGTTGTACTTTCCAAAGAACTTTGATCAAACAACATACAAAATCTTCCAACATGACAGTCAAGTCACTTCTAGAAGAAAAGGTTGGTGACGGAGGCTGTGGTGGTGTTGGTGGTAGATGCTGCAGTGGAGGTGGTGGTAACTGAACTTATGATCCTGATCCTATGGTGTAGACGCTAGAGTAAGCTATAAATAGATTGAACTACCAGCAATCCCAGAGAGTAGCAATATGAGCTCAGGCAAGCCTGTACACACCGCTGGCCTTAGTGTTCTCAGTGAAAAAGAAAGTCATGGTAAAATGAGGAGCTAGCACGGATAAAGGAGTGTGGTAGGCACATGCAACCCTGTCTCTCTAGGGCAGGGTTTTCTACTTGACTACTTTATAATAATAACCATGTTATGTCTATCCTCCTAACTATTCACAAAATACAATTGTTATCCTTATTTCTCTGTAACACAGCCATGGTGAAATTTACTTGCACAACAAGGGCAAACAAACTGGAAATAAGTAGACAGACCCAAAAGCAATGTAGCCACACTGGCCACGTTGGGGACCCTGAGCAGACCTTCACCAGTGATGGTTTCCCAGGGACCCAGCCTGCCTGTCTCAAGTCTGTCTATATCACCACTCACAGCCAGGCGCCATTTCTCAGACCTCCCGAGTGATGGCAGTACGCCCTTCTGAGTCCCTTCTCTGAAGAGCTTGCTTTCCATGTTGCCCTGCGTGTCCCTCCCAGACTTTATTTAAATAAAGGGAAATCCTCTTCTCAAAGCACCCATTCATGGTGTCGCCCCAAGCCTGACGTGGAGAAGGTTTTGAGAACCTTGCTTTTCAACAGATGAAACAGCCTCCTGGCTCTGGAACTGGTGCCAGGATTGTCCAGCTGAGCGAACCTTGTATGCATTCTGTGCCTTTAGAAGTCACAGATCAAAGGGAGGGTTCTGCTTGAAGCCTGATGCATTGCCCTGCTTTAGTAATACTTCCTTCTCAAGGTTCCAAGGAATAAAAAAAAGTCATTGAAATAAACTAAACTAGGTACCACTTGTTAGTTTTTTGTTATAATATAGTAAGAAGCAACTAAAAATATCTCTAATCTTTGAGTAGTTTCATTCAGCTCACCAGGAGCAAACATTTTCAGTGGTCCTCAGTTTGGGCCTCCTCTTGACCTCCAGCTTGGCCAGCTTCTCAGAGACAAACTGATAAATGTCAGCTTTTCATGGGGCGGGGTCCGGAAAACAACCCAGCCTCCCTCTGCTCTAGACCTCTTCTTCTAGAACGGGAAGAAGGGACAGGCTCCTAGCATCATTTTCTGGAATAACCAGCAGCTTTTACAGTTAGATCTGTAACCAGGAAGCCTCGCAGGTGTATGAAACCACCCGTGTTTAGCGCAGACAGAATCATTGGAGCATCACTGGAGCTGAAGTTCATAACTGGGAAGTTCATAGCCAGCTTCAGCTGTGTGTTTCCAGGGACCTGATGGATGATAGCCCTGCTTCCCTGGCTGGCCTATGTTCTGGGTTAAGCATGGGAGTTTCATGGTCTCACAGCCTCTTGCCCATCAGCAGGTCTACTGTAAAGAACACAGGAGCCGGCAGGGCACATTATTTTGAATTGTACCACATTGACATCCTTTGGTCTATGCTTGTTCTAAGTGGCATGCTGCAGACACACTGCATTTCAGTGGGTGGGGTCTGCCGGATGTCAGTCACAGGAAGAAAATGTTGAAATGGGTGAGTTCAAGGAGACAGTCTTAGAAGCAAATCTCTGGCTCATCTCTGCTGGTTTTTGAAGTTCAGTATTCATTTACCCCTTTAACTCTTTTATGATGCTAAAAGCACCAACCATCCTGAAATTTGCCATTGATAAAAGGCAAATATAATGTTAATGTGTGTATCTTCGCATTGAGGTTTTAAAACATTTCTTAAAACTAAGAGTGACCTTCATCTCCTTCAGTGGTTGAGTGTTTTAAATGAGAAGTAGAAATGAACTCACCAATGTATTTTTGCTGAATTAACTCCTATTCGCAAAAGGCAGGAAGGTGTTGCTATACAGTGTGTTAATCTTTATGTCAGTGTTTGGGGGCCGCCATAACAAACTGTCACTCACCGAGATATCAAATCAATGAGCCCTTCCCACTGTGATCCAGACCTCTAGTGTGAGCCTCTGGGTTAAAATGGAGGCTCAACAAGATCATGCTGCTTTCAGAGACTCAAAGGGGCTCTTTTTTTCCCTTTGTCTGTTCCCCTGGGGAGACTTCTGCACTTTTGGATCCTGGCCTTTTCCAGCTTCAAGGCCCCTGAGTCGCCAACTCCTCCTCTTTCCGCTGTTGGGTGCTGACTTTGCCTTTCCTTCTTGCATCTGATAACACAACCCTCAGAAACACCAGGCTGGTCTCCACATTGTGATCACCACGCCCACAGCATCCTTTTGCCATGTAACCCCATATGCGCAGGTTCTGGACATAAAGATGTGTGCATCTTTGGGGGATGTAGGTAAGGAACCCCAGACTACTAAAACGCCAAAGGAATCAGATCAAATCAAATCATGCTATTCAAAAGTATCACAAACAACATTGTATCCATGACTCTTCCACCATCTTTTAACATTGTATCCATGATTCTTCCATTACTTTTAACACTGTATCCATGACTCACCACCTTTTAACATTGTATCCATGACTCTTCTACCACCTTTTAACATTGTATCCATGATTCTTCCACCACTTTTAACATTGTATCCATGACTCACCACCTTTTAACACTGTATCCGTGACTCTTCCACCACCTTTTAACATTGTATCCATTATTCTTCCACCACCTCTTAAAATTGTATCCATGACTCTTCCACCACTTTTAACATTGTATCCATGACTCTTCCACCACCTTTTAAAATTGTATCCATGACTCTTCCACCACTTTTAACATTGTATCCATGACTCTTCCACCACTTTTGATGACACATTTGGAAAGGTCATTGTTAGACATGTGAGATAATGAAGGCTGGGGGCTACCATTTTATAGAAACTGGACTTCTCCATTGTTTCAGATGCAACACATCCATCCACAGAATGTATTCCGTCTGAAGAATGCCAGCTAGGTCCTGGAGCTAATCTGACTGGCATAGACTCTTGAAGGCTGCAGTTTTCTCAGGAAAGAGATGCACAGCAGCTGCCTCCCTCCCTTGGGTTCTGGGAGCTTGAGTGCAGGAAGCTACATGTGAAAATAACAATGAACAAACAAACAAACAAAAAAAAACACTGCCAAGAAAGAGTCTTAACTGCACAAGAGAACAGGGAACGGAGCATTCCCACCCCAAATCAATACTTTATCCACAGCCCAGGGCAGGTCACTGTAACCTCTGACTGTTTACCTTGTTTGCTTTCTCCCTGCTCTGGTGTTTGTTATGCTTCAACCAGCTGCCTTTTCCCTTCTCATTAAGCCTATGAACATTAAATCATTCCTGTTTGGTTCTTTTTTTTCATTTTTTATAAACAATTTATATTTAAATGTTGGCAAACTGAATGGTCCAATTTTGCCCTTTGAATGCCTGTGCATTCAAATTCTTTAGGAGGCCTCTCTCTCTCTCTCTCTCTCTCTCTCTCTCTCTCTAAATTCTATTTTTAGTTTCATAAAAATTGGTGTTTCTTATTATCCCCAACCCATAATTTTCTTTACTGAATTTTTTGTTTAATTTTCTTTTGCCTTAACATTTTATTTTTCAGACACCTCTCATTGAACCTCACGTTCCTCTCCGTCCTGCTAACACCATTACCAAGGTAATGGGACGTAGGTGGGTTGATGAGCCATCCAAGCTCACTTCTTAAGTACCACTGTGGTTCCTGTGTCAGAGTGTCAAGTCAAGGCCCCTCAGAGCCACTTCCCAGAGCCAATAAATATGCAGCGTGTCTCAGTTCTCGACATAACAGTGACATGTCTCATGAGTGAGCAATGTAAATATGTATGAGTGAGTTGTGTTTTTCTATCCGAACTCTGATTAGAAAGCGGTTTAAGAATTCACCGGGTCTACTCCCTTCCGTAAACTCTCCTTTCCCCTCTTCTCCTCCCATCTGATTAAAACCCAGGTCCCTTCAGAGAAGATCCTCCGAGCTGGGAAAATCTTACGAATTGCCATTCTCTCTCGAGCACCCCACATGATAAGAGACAGAAAATACCACCTAAAGACATACAGGTATGTTTGTTCATCCTCACGGCTTGGCCCCTCCAGTTCGTGTTTTATAAAAGTGGGACAAATAGCCTGTTATAAACCCCGGGGTTCCAGCCTGCGCGTGTTTTAGCCCCAACACTGCAAGCTGATGTGTGCAGGCTGTGTTTTTTGCCAGCATCTTTTGGTGGCCCTACTAAGTTCGGCTAGCACTCACACAGTTCTTACACGCCAAGGGTGGCACCACGCCACTTCCTGCATGGGATCATGAAGTTTATCTCCACCGCATCTCCCTTCCAGAAAGGCGTATCTGGGTATGTGTTCATTTCCCAGATGACAAAACTGACCCCGGGCAAAGAGAGCAAATAGTGTCCCTTCACTAAGTCCTGTGTCCAGAGAGCACACAAGCAAGTTTTACACCTAGTATGGTTGATCTCTAAATTTAGTGATTTTTTTAAATTTTTTTAATTTAATTTTTAAGTCATAGTGTTACAAGCTCTAAGTATATGGAAGTGAACAAAATATATATAATCTTTTATGGAGTTTGTTTTCTAGTGAAGTTTTATTTTAGTAAGCTACTTCACTTGGCAGGGGGCAGGGTGTGCATTTGCTGAAGCTGTCAGAGGACACTGGGTGACCTGCTCAGTCTCTGTCCTTCGAGGCAGGGTCTCTCACTAGACCTGGAGCTGGGCTGGCAACCAGAAAGCCCCCAAGATTCCCTGTCTCTTCCTGTCACAGCACCGGAGTGACAGGCATGTGCTTTTTACACTGGCAATTCAAACTCAGGTCCTCACACTTGTGGGGCAGATGCCCACTGAGCCAGCTCCCCAGAGCCACATTTTCACCGCCTCTTCCAGAGTCTCAGTCTTGTTCTGCAGCCCTCAAAGCTAATCTGCCTGGACTCTGTAGCTCATGCAGTATAGTTCTAAGGAAAGTCAAGATTTAAAACAAAGCCAAACAAAACTAAAACACGTGTGCTACATCTCCCCAGAGTTCAACCCCGTTAGCCCTTTGGCTCTTTTGCTTTAGGTGGACCTTAAAAGCTCACATGGCTGAAAAGATCTTTTTCGTTGAATGTTTTAGTTATTTTTTTTCCCGTTAAAATGTGAGTATGTTCACCCAACTATTGACTCGTGTTGGGGAAATTCCATTAAATATGTCATGTTTGGTGACACATCCTGGAAACGGGAAGTCAGAAACTGATCTCTTCCTGATGCCATCCTGCGGAGACTTAAATCCCTGACACGGAGGTGTTATGTCTGCTCCACACCCTATGACATAAGTTGATGATCTGTTGGTGATGACCCGTGGGCTCCACTGGAAGCCATGGGCACGGTTTCTTCTGCAGCAGCAGTCTGAGTTCTTGCCCCAGATCCGTGCCTGCAAGCTCCGTCTCCTCCCTCCCGCTCTTTATCCCATTGTGTGTCTGCTTCCTTATCAGAGACTTGAGGCCCTGCCAGATCCAGTATCATCCCAGTGATCACTATGCTAGAGTGGATGACAGTCAGTTCTGATTAGGTGTCATTTAGCGGAAATGATACCCAGGGACTCTGCTATGTGCCCCTGTTGTGCATTCTGGCTCCAAAGTCCCTGTGCCTCTCCTAGAAATTCAATGCTCTGAATCAGCTTTGTCACTTTTTTAAAAAAGAGCAATCATTGAATTAAAAGCCAAATAAAATTTTCTATACTTTTATAAGAACTTTTCCCACTAATAATCTACCAAATTATAAGAGAAATGTTTGTTTTGTATGTTTAGCTCAGAAGTATTTGGTTACTTCAGAGTGGAGATGTAGGTGCTTCTTCACCCTTTGAAGTTGTGACGGATGAGTAGAGCTGGCCTTCCCAACCGTCCTCCCTGGGTCAGGGTCACTGCATCCCAAGAGCTGATAGAGTTCCGAGATTCTAGAATATTGGAACTGGAGAAGGCCTGCAAGACCATCACTTGTTCTTTCCTTACCGTACAGAGACGGAAACAGAACCAGAGGGATGGCCAAAGTCACATGGTTAATAAGTAGAAAACTCGATAACTCTACCACTTCAAGATTTTTTTCCAAGTGGCCCGGGACAAGGAATCTGCTTCAGTTTATGCTAGAGTTCTTCAGGTTTGGCCCCGCCTCTGCTCATCCCCAGAGGCGGTCCCATTCTTGGCCTGCCAAGGGAGGCTACCAATGAATCAGGCCCAGCTGCAGGCTGCCATCTGCTCTGGGCTTCCCTGCCCTATTCCACTGTCCCTTGAGATCTGTCCCTAGGACTTTAGGACTGCATTTTCCCCCTCATACACACACATAAGTAACACCTGCTCTATTTTCACACTTCCCTCAGAGTTTCCTAATACATAAGTGTATAATTGTGTATCTCCTAACTAACACCCATAGCCTGTCTACCTACACCAGGGGACAGCTTTGGGACTAACACATGGCTGTACAGGGAGCATCTGGTGTTGTTAGAAGGCAGATTCTGTGGACACGTTAATGCTCATGACACAGAACCTTTTCGGAAAGATTTGCATTGCTAATTGTTTCTTCCTCCCAGCAGCCCTCACCCTGAGCTGTCCTTAGAAGGAAGGGTAATGTTTTCCCTCCAGCAGCCCTTTGAGTAGCTTGATGCTCTGTCTTCTAGTGTTCTTTTATTTACACGACCCTGCTTAGATGGTTGGTGCAAGAGCCTAAGGCTATATCCCTAAAAGAACCTCTTTCTTTGCCTTGATACCGCTTATGGTACCATGCTTTTTGGAAGCTTCTCTTCTTGAAGGCTATCTCCCACTCTCTCTGCAGAGGGGTGACTTTTCCATCCTCTGTGTCTCATCCCCTTTAGACAATGCTGTGTCGGGACTGAACTGGTAGACTGGATGATACAGCAAACGTCCTGCGTTCACTCCCGGACTCAAGCTGTTGGCATGTGGCAGGTCTTGCTGGAAGATGGCGTCCTCAACCATGGTAAGATGGGCCCCAGGCTCTGGAAAGCTCTCAAGTCATGCGAAGTGTATTGCCCTGGGTAAGCTACTGCTGCATTCCCAAGGGGGCAGGAGAGAATGATGATCTCCTTAAGGAACCACCACGCTTAGCATCTTCATTTAGCGATACAAATGCGGCAAGCGGACGCTATTGATTGCCACGTTCCACCACTGTACCTTCCTAACTTCCGAGACCGAAGGAAAGGAAAATGAAATTGCAACCAGAGTGCATCAGCTCCAATTATGTTTATTAGTTTGCATTCATGGTTCGTTGATGGCGTGATTAGACTCCAAGCATTGCACCGCGGTCCTGAGGCAGGCGCAGGATGAAAGAGCAGTGGAATGTGTGGCCGGGTTGATGACACGAGAGTCAGTAATGAATTCAGAAGCTGCCTTTTCACTGCGCCGCTGTCTGGGGGAGCCGATTTGTATCCCCGCCGGATGGCCGTTGTTTAAAATCAGAGCTGTGCGCTGCAATTGCGGTCTCTAGTAACTGCCGCAGCTCTCGCTGAACAGAAGAGCTATTCAGGGCCGGGGTGTGACCGCCGCTGAACTGCTCACACCACTTGCTTAAGCCCACTTTTCTAAACGTGAAAATATTCAAATCAGCCGTTTCATCCGCCAGCACCTGGGAATGTGGGAGAAAGAATTTTGTTCGAGTCTCCTCAGACATCCATTGCGCGTGTGCGTACCAATCACCTGGGGCTCTTGCTCAAAGCAGATTCCAACTTTGCAGGTCTGGGATGGGTTCTAAACACCTTGTGCTGCAATAAGCGCCTGCGTGTTGCTGCCGCCGCCGCCGCCGCCGCCGCCACCACCACCACCACCACCACCACCATCCCTATTTGGGAGATCTGCCAGCGTCTACCACAGTTCTTTGTCTTTTATCTTGACAGTCCATGCTATAGACGGACTAAGTGATTTCTAGACATTTAGATGAGGGGTTCTAGCCCAGCCCACCTTCTTTTCTAACAGAGACCTAAATCTTGTTGATCACTTAGTTAGGATGTGTGAGTTCCTGGGTCTGAGTTCCCCAGCTTTGCCAAAAGAAAGGGAGGGAATGGCTTTCTGGAAACCTAAACTGGAAAATGACCACCAATTCCTTCGAGGAGTCTATGGCCTGGAAGCTTGGTCTTCTTGGCTTTGTTCAGATCTTTGTGTTCTTGTAAACCCTTTTTTTAACGGGGACATAGAGCAATAAAAGCCTAAGTTCTGACCTCCCAAAGGAATGCCTCTTGTAAGACCTCACTCCCAAAGCCAGTCCGCAAGCAAGCTCTGACAGAGAGTTTACCAGCTTGGGACACATGCCCCACACTGTAGAAAATGCCACCAAGGCATTGCATACTCATTCTAAAAAAGCTGGCAGGTGCCCACAGGAGGCCCAGGGAGGCAGAATCGGGTGGGTCCAGGAGGCTGTGGCTCAGATGACTGTAGACGGACGGCTGGACTTCTAGCTGCCCCGCCTGAGTGAGGTGGAGTTCGAAGGACTCAGGCTCCCAACTGAGCGGCTGCATGGCTGTCCTGCAGGACTCCGGCCCTGTACTCCTGCCAGCGAGCCGGGGTTCATAGCTTCAAGCCCCAGCTGACCCTGGCCTCAATGTTTCCCACAGTGGACCAGGAGCGCCATTTCCAAGACAAATATTTATTTTATCGATTTCTGGATGACGAGCACGAGGATGCCCCTTTGCCTACTGAGGAGGAGAAGAAGGAGTGTGACGAGGAGCTCCAGGACACCATGCTGCTGTTGTCTCAGATGGGCCCCGATGCCCACATGAGGATGATCCTGCGCAAACCGTAAGTGGGAGCTCGCGGCTCACCTGGCTGTCCCAGGCTGCCGCAGGCACATCCGGGGAGGGAAGCAAGGCTGGTGGCAGAAGTCCTGGCCATCCCTCACGTCAGAGGAGGGATGACTAAGGGGGTGATACCACAGTGGTGTTTGTCACTGTTTTATTTTAAATTTTGATCCACTCCCCAAACTCCCCTGTCCACTCATGTGAGTTTAAACTATATATCTTTAGCAGGTGGCTCCGAATATCAAACCAGAAGGCCCATACTAATGGCCTTTGCCAATGGCAAGCAGAAACTGTTCTGCTTCTATGCCAGACCGAGGCAGCCCCATTCTTCATAGTTCTAGAGGGCAAGGACCCCAGAAGCGAAGCTCCCATGCCCATGTTACGTTCTTTCATCCATTAAGTCATTCATTCCTTCTTTTGGTAAAACTCCTTCAAGGCCACCATTCAGTCAGTGAGGCAGCCGGAAGCCCCCTTGTCTGCCACAGCTGGCCACAAGGTTTTTAATTAGGTCAAAGAAGAAAAGTGTGAAGCCCCTGTTAGACCCCAGGCATTCTGCTATTGCTCCATGGCCCGCAAAGTGCATGGCCGCTCCCAGTCCTTCTCAGGGAAACCTTTGCAGTCAAGGTGGCTTGGCACTAGATTGGGAAACCCCACACACAGGCTGCTGCTTCCTGCTGGAAACGAAGCCCCCTCCACCGTACAGCCAGTGCCAGGCGGCTATGGATGCCAACCCTGAACCACTAGCTCGGCCGACCTTCCTTTATGCTCGGGTCTCTGCAAGAACATTCGATTTTACATCTGCTATGTCCGCTGGGCACTTTCCAAGCGAGAGCTACCCCTCAGACGGACTTCCCCAGCAACTGCCCCTTGGACCAGTTCACAATGGCCTCTGAGGGCAGCTTTATCTCCTTCCCCCAGGACTCTTTCACTTTCACTGGCCCATACTCCAGGCCGCATGGGCCTTTCAACACATGTCATTTTTGTCACACCGTGTCCCCTTTGTCCAAACTCTCTCTTGGGGCTTAATCTTCTACACAGAGCATTTCAAAGGCCTTTCCCTCATCCCAGCCGGTACTATCATCCTTAACTCTAGAACCATGGTTTTCAGCTCTTTCAGCCTCAATCCCCTTTCTTCAAACAGAAATTGAATAGAAGGATCCAAAATATCAAATAGAAAAGCCAGAGCTGCACCGACCTAAGCAGGAGTGGGGTCCAAGGAAGCTGCCCAGCCAATTTGTGCTCTGTTTGCCCTGCAGGATCATGGGGAGGATGGCCGAGGGCACAAGAATTCCCCAGGGCTGTGGAAATCAAATAAATAGTGGCCTCAGAAACCACATTTTCTTTCCAGGAAGACTGTTTCCCTTCCTCCTGACCAGTTCACTTACCATCTGTCCTTCTTCATCTCTCCTGGCTTCATCTCTCTCTCTCTCTCTCTCTCTTTTTTTTTTTTTCTGTTTTCCTTGCTGTCACGTTCATTCAAGCCGCCATCATTCTGAGGTTCTGAGTCCGACTGAGGCATCCCCTAAATGCATGGGGATGTTTGGGTTGTCAGAACACGAGTGGACACACAGGCTGTTGGCATCCGTTGGACGGTGGTGAAGACTCTAGGGATACTAAAGTCATCCAATGTCAAGGATCCCTGCCACATTTGCTCTGCACATTTGCTTTCTGGCCCACCGAGAAGCAGCCAGACACTGGGAGTCTGTGAAAGACAATCTCACAGTGCCAGTTTTCTTCATTAACCCCTTGTTCGTCAGCACTTCTTGACCACCTAACTTGTTCTGAATGCTGTGGAGTTGAGTTAAGCAGGAACATGAGGGTGTGCCTTCTTTCCGGAGCTTTGTGTGAGCAGAAGATAGCTCGAGACCCATGAGCAAGGATGCAATCAGGGCTGTACGACATCCTATAATGGACAAGGGAGTGTATGTTAGCATTCTATACTGTGGGGAGGGTTTCACGAGTGTGAAATAGTCAGGCTATGTACCTGTCTTAGATGAGGTTTCTATTGCTCTGAAGAGATACAATGACCACAACAACTCTTATAAAGGAAAACATTTAATTGGGGTGTCTTATAGTTCAGAGGTTTAGTCCATTATCATCGTGGTGGAATGTAGCAGAATGCAGGTAGACATGGTTCTGGAGAGGGAACTGAGATCCTTCTATATCTTGACCCACAGGCAGCAGGAAACGAATGGTGTCACCGGGTGTAGCTTGAACATAGGAGACTTCAAAGCCTGCCCCTCAGAATTAGACACTCCCTCTAACAAGGCCATACTTACTCCAACAAAGCCACACATCCTAATGGTGCCACTCCCTGTCAGGGTCATTTTCTTTCAAACCACCACAGTCCCCAACAAGGAAGCCATCAATAAACATTTTTGAGTGACTGAGTGGGGTCAGAGCCCCTGCCATGCCTCCCTCAGCTCTTTCTTGCCGTTGAATTCACTAAGACTTCTTTTCAAGTGCTTACCAAGTGGATTAAAATGTAGAAAGAGTAACTGCTCCTTTGAGGAGTCTATAAGCCAATGAGAGAAGCAATCCCAAGTCAGAGTCAAATGGGACAGACATTTATTGAGTATGTGATGCATGCTCGAGACTTCTGGCCTAGGTTTCATGAGTCATCCCGAGAAATAGGGTCCACCCGTCTAGCACGTGTAAGTGAAGCTAAGAGTTCACTTCCCAGCGCCCCCAAGGAGAGATGGTGCTGTTCCCATTTTCGCCCACAATCCAGTGAATTGCATGAACCCCAGATACTCAAGTCTTCAAGAAACATTGATTGCCCAAACTTGGCTGTAGTTATCCTCTGGCTATTGAACAGCAGGTTTGCACTTGGTGTTGTGGCACAGGCCTTGGGTCCGAGCACTCGAGAGGCTTAGGTAGGAAGATTTGGAGCTGGTGGCTATCTTGGGCAATGTAGCAAATTTCAGACCAGTTTGGATTACATGTAGGGATTCTGTCTCCAAAAAAAAAAAAAAAAAAAAAAAGCAATCACTGATAGTCCAAGACGAATGACTTGGGGATTTTCTTCGCATCTTCCCAGCATTTTTTTTGTTTTTCTTAATTTGACAATCATTGGGATTGGACCGGCAATGCTCCTTTAGGCTTATGTACTTTCTTCCTATTTGAATGACAGCTCTTAAGGATGGGAAAGTGACAAATAAGGAATCTAATTCTGAGAGATAGACACTCAAGTTCTAAGCACACACATACACACACTCCCCCCCCCCTGTTTATTGGTTAGCTATTTTTTTTTAATTTTCTAGTAATCTTTGGTAATCTCACTTGATTCTATTTAAGAGGAAAGAAAAGAAGCCAATTTGGTCAAGAATCATCCGTACCCGGTCTGTTCTTGAAGGGACCGACAAAGCACTTTGCTCTTGGAGACTGAGGCCACTTCTGTGGGTCCTGGGGCAATTGGCTCCTTATGGCCCACACCGCCGAGTAACTGAGAAACGCGGAGCCACGGCATGTGTTGGCTGTATGTCAGCGGGGCCAAGACCCCCAGTTTTTGAACTCAGCACAGCTGCACTTGTGATAGTCACCACTGCCAGAGAGGTTGCAGAACTCTGGTAATTACCGGGAAAGAAATAACACAATATTCTTTGATGAGAAGATTACTTTGAGAATTTGATTGTATAATGAAGATGTTGCTTTGAAAGGTACTTCCCATTGTTCTGAGGCTGAGACTCGCTAGCTTAAAAAAAAAAGTGTCACTTGTTTTGACAGGCTACTTAGAAAAATTCTCTGTTTATTACATTAACTGCAGCATTTCAACTGTCAAACTATGAAAGAATGTTCCGCAGTTTAAAAAACAGAATAAAGCTTCAGAGGAAATTTTTTTTTTGGCACACTCTTGTTGCTATTGGTATTGAAAGGGAAAAAAAACATACATTCTGAATGTGAAATTAGCTTTTTATGTGGTGGCAGACAGAGTGCCTCACAATGCCCATCGTGGTTGCGCAGGTGTGGACCTGCGTGGCATTTGGGGGCAAATGCTGCAGAATGGTGACAAGCTGACAGTGCTGTTGTTGTAGCGTTGAGACAGGCCATCAAACACAAATGAACTCTCAGAGCTTATTGTTTTGACTTCGCTTTGTTTATAAGCCTGAATGCAGGAGGTTACTCTGCGCACACAGATACAGCAGAGTGCTCCCTCGCGGATGTGGGCATTTGGGTACAACTGAAGCAGGCACTTTGGGTAGGAAGCCGTGGGCCAAAAGATACAGAGATGGCCAGGTGGATACCATGCTGTAAAAGGTGGAGCCACCTGGAAACAAAGAGGCTTCACGGACGCAGGATTCTCCTGCCGTCAAGCCTTCCTGCTCCCTCCATGAAGAGAGAGACACTGTGTCCCACTCTTTACAGGGGTCTCACGGAGGCCTGCCGTGGGAGAGAAAGGAAGATTGTATTTCTCAAATCTCATTCGAGTTATGCCCTTCTGAAACTTCCCCAAAAAGAAATCCACTGAACCCGGAAAGAGCCGGGGTGGGGAGGACAGCATAGGAAAATTAGGTCGCCATATCGAAAGATGTTAGCATGTTCTGCTGTCTTCCAAATGGGCCTGAAACTCATAAACTGCAATTCGCTTATTTTATGTGATCAGTGAAAGGTTTTAGGCATCTGAGTCTAGAAAGCAAATGAGCAATGGGAAGAGGCAAGGGCTGTCCACCCGTGCCAATTGGTGGCTCTAATGCCCAACAGCCCTGCCGACGGGATGCGCTATACAGTTGTTACGGGGACAGCAGGGGGCTGTGTGCTTTTTCTTAATTAGGAAACTTGTCTGTTAAAATATTTATTATTATTATTATTATTATTATTATTATTATTATTATTATTATTGGTGGTGGTGTGTGTGTGTGTGTCAGGTGTCTACAAAGGCCAGAAAAGGGTATTGGATTCCCTGTGGGTTGCCTGTTGTGAGCACTGGGACCGAACTGAGGTCTTCTTGAACAGTAGGAAGCCCTCTTAACCATTGAGCCATCTCTCCATCCCCACTTGTCT